ATCCTGACCTTGATGCCACCCATCAACCAGCTAGTTATGCGCGAATCTTTGTGTTCATCCCCTTGCTGTCCCTTCCCTTTTCCACCATTGCCCTGATGTCCCTTCCCTTTTTCACCATTGCCCTTCGTCTTTTTCCCAGRTGCATCGACACCCTGATGACCTCCTCCATCACCAGACAAAGTCTGTTTGGCATTAATCGATCTTGATACCTTAGAATGGCCATAATATTTCCCTTTATCCATATCCTGTCGACGAAGCCCCCTTCCCTCCTCCTTCGGACTCCTTGAACCCCTATCCTGCTCCTTCCACTCACGGTGCAAYTGTTTGGAACCCTCATCGTTTCCTCTTTGATGTTTCACTGCGCAATAATCTYGGCTCTCAGGCCTCGAGCCCTTTCCTTGCACGTTGCCCGTCTTCTTATCTCTATTAATCTTTTATTCCTCCTCTCGCCTTACCTTGTTATCCCTCCCCTCAGGAGTCCGGTGTTTGCTGGTGGGCAAATCGATGTCTGCTAGCTCTTTGACTCGAATAACAGCCTTTTCGTTGCTCGTTTCCAACCTGACTGTGGCCCGATCGGACCTCCCGCTCTCAGGTGGATGTGTCTCTATGCTTAACACAACTCCACGCAGACCCGAATGCCTCCCTGCGATGATTTTCATTGTCTTCCCAATGGCAAATCCTCCTGGTCTAAATCTCTCTGTGTGGTTCTCTCCTCCATTTCTGACATGTTGGACCCTGCCATCAGACCCAATCGGTAAGGCCATATCAGCCCGTGGTCCATGAGCCCTTCGGTCGCCAGTCTTTTGCTTCTTGCCATTTGCCTCATCTTGAGGCGGGCGGCCAGCCACTGCCCCAAGTCTAAGCCTGTCAGGCCTTGGACGATATTCCATGGGCTCAATTACACTGTTTGCACGTCGCCCAAGAGGTTTCCCCTGTTCCCACCCCATTCCTCTCAAAAGTGCCTCCCCGAAAAGCTCTATTGGCATGGTCTCGTAAGTTTCCGTATCGTCAACATCTGGGAGACTGTCAATTTCCCTTTGCATTGCTTGTGCGTCAAGCTGYTGTTGGTGATATCGGGAGTGGAGAGCAGCTACCGTGCTTTCCTCATTGTTCCCACCCACTCCGTCTTCGGCTTTGCGAATCTCCAACCCATACCGAACGTTCTCCCCTGGTTGGTCTTCCGGGGCCACCTCCTCGAATCGATCACTCTCCACATCTCCATCAAGCACGGGTTCACCCAAYGCTGACATTATGGGTTGACGGCCCGGACAGGCCCTCTTCCTGTGCAGTTTCCAGGAGTCCTCCAGCAGTGGGATCACCGCAGKGCCAGCCTCCTTTTTCTCAATCTGGCTCACAAGTCCCGTTCTGTCAATGGCTGTGACATAATCACGGTCCTCTGTAGGTTCCTTTCGTTTWTCCCCCCCCACTTTCGTCCGAACAACTTTTCCATTTCCGGGGAGGGTCTGACCTGCTGTCTGACCGGCGACTGAGACTGACGAATGCTGAGATTTGCTCTTTGCAGGTCCAGCCAGAGCGAACTTAAAAGTTTGACGCTGCATTTTCTCCGGGGAAGGCATCTTCTCATTCTCAGGATCACAACCTAGCTTCCCCATTTGTGCGTCCTCYGCAGCGCTAGAATTCATCTTTTCTAGGGCATACTCACACACTACCGG